TCGTCACGGAATGACATTATTTTTCCATGCTTCGAATGACCGAGTTTCTGTTTCGTGTTTTAAACACAGTTAACTTGAAAACTTGACATCAATGTGTTCTACAACTTATTTCATTGAGTACTGATTATTCTATATATATGTTTTTATTCTATAACAACAAAAATAATGTTTTTTTTTTACAATAGATAAATCAATAAAGTTGAAAACGTTGAAAGAAATCGAAAGTTCTTTTTATTTAAATGCAAATACGAATGTTTGTGTGCAATTTGTATATGAACTACATTCAATTATATTTTTATGTAAAACTTTAATAGAATGTAGTTTTCGTATAACAGGTACACTACATGTCTGATCAAACATATATGATAGTTTTGCTATTGTTACATCTATTTGAGCATTTGTTATTTGTCCTACTATTATTGTTTTGGTTTTTTCATTACAAATTTGAACAAAATCTGAAGCTGATGTACATCTTTTACCAGCCATCATTTCTGACCATACTAAGCGTTTCAATGTGCCACCTATGCCATCTACAACACCTTTACCATGACTACTAGCAAAAAAGTTCCAGCTTATATCAACAGCATTATCATCCATCATATATGTTAAATAACGTAATAAAAAACGATTTTTAAATTGACTAGCAGCACCATCAGAAAAAAAGATTATTTCATTTACATCTGGCACATAACTTTTTATTTCATTTACAATAACATCAAGACATGTAGCAACGCTAAATTTATCATGTGTTGTATTATTCGATACTAAACCAAATGAAAATCCTACATCACCTCCACTACCACTACACCATGCATATGCTGTAAATATAGACAATTGCTTTTTAGACCAATGTGCTGATTGAATTTGATTTTGTTCATCCATCGTAAAATTTTCTGCATAATCAACTTGAATTACAACAGTTTTATCACCAGCATTTTGTTTTATATATTCAAAATAATTACTTTGTTCATGTTTTATAAATACATGCCAAAGATATGATTTGATTTTGCCTTTTAATACTTTAACACAATCATCAACTGAACCTTCAGGAATACAACAGAATATACACACAGATATAGAGACATACAAGAAGCAGCTTAGATACAATAGCAAGAGTAGTACCTTCAAATTCTTCTTTTCTTGCACGACCGCTTTCATTACTCCATTGAAACCATCCTATTTGAACATTTTTATCAATAACTTTTTCTGTTATATGATCTTTGAAATAATTTTTACATATTATACATTTTGATGACATACATTTTTCATCATCAACATCACAAATAAGCATAGATGTAAATGCACTAAGATCACCTGCTTTTAATCCAGTAACATGTTTAGATAGAGCATTTATAAGAAGATGAATATTCTCATGATGAACACATATGCAGATACGATGAGCTAATGTTGATTTATATAGTACAAAACGTGGACGTAATTCTTGAAATGTCGATTTACTTATTGATATACCTAAAACAAGACAATCTTTTACTTTTCCAGCATTAGAAATAGTCACAACACATGACTCGTTTACACTTCTCAGTGGGACTACTTATAACTGTTGATATACAACATGAATTTCTTTCGAAATTTAGCTTCATGTATTACTATTGTCGTAGTCCAAAGTTACGATGAGAAATTAAAAAAAAGTTGCTCTGTCTTTTTATTTAGGCCAATTAAGAAACCTTGTTTCTTCGAATTTTAATCCAATTTGTAGTTTGTTATGAAGCGCAGAAAAAGTGGACTCACAAGTAATCAACTATAATGCATCCAGTGGGTATATTCTCCAGATCTTCAGAGGGCCTCTAGAGAGCCTTTATGGGTCACCGAAGAATCTCTAGGAGATCTCCAGAAAACCTTTCGGGATTTATTGAAATATGAAGCTCTTATATTAATAAAATTTTAAAAAATTAACTTTTTAAAACTCTATATTATAATATAAGTAAGCACACT